GAGCATCAACAAGCCAAATATTTTTACATCAGTATAGGTTATTGTCTATTGATGCAAATTTAAGATTATATTTTGTTACAATATACTCTTGTTTTAGGTATTGTATCTATGCAACTCAGTTAAAAATGTAATGTAAAGTTCTAGTCCTTTTGAAAGCTATGATTACAAACTGCTAAGAAATGCAAGTTAATAGTCAGTCAACCAAACTTATGGTCATGTTAGGTACTAGTTTAGTCAGGGAAATAAGCTTTATTTAGCCTCCTGTATATGTTTTCAAAGTTAAACAGATAGTGACTAGCTAGAAACATGCAATGTTTGCCTATTCAGATATGCTATAGGTAAAGAGATGGACTTCAAAAACCTCAGAGATCTGCAAAGTATGACATTTTAAGATGTTTTATTAATAAAAGGCTTTTTTGACAGTGAGACATGTCAGCTCCTAGCAGCACTCCACTCTACTTCAAACAAGATGATTGGTATCAAAGAACCTCGCATGGAGCTGCTTCAAATGTGGCTAGCTGGGCAAAACTGCCCTTGCTTCAACTGCTGCTATTATGCTCTCTACACTGGACAAGTGGGACACAGAAAACTTAACTGCCAAACTTTGCAAGGACAAGGTAGGCAAGTGCTTCATATTTCCCGCTTCATAAAAAATTTCTGCCAGATATTCTGGGCCAGAAGGCTGAAGATGATGACACAATATTACAGAGAAACCTAGGTGTCTCTCCAGGCATCTAGCCACCTCGATCATTTCTAGAGCCTCGGAAGCTGCTTGCTCTGCACTTCCTGTCTACTCAGGCAATATCTATCTTTCTCAGATCTCTGTTGGAGTTGAAGACTAGATAGTTACAGTCTCATAATTAAGCTTAAGTTGTTTAGGATTTAAGAAAATGTTTTAAAGTCTACAAAGATATTTATTGGTTGATAAATGCAAGTTATGATAAAAAGTGATTTAAATACAGAACTTTGAAATCACCAAGATAGAATAGATAGTAGAGTACTTTCTCCAAGGTTGACAAATACAAATGGACTGGACATTATGAATGTAATTCTTATCTGGTAATTTTCAATTGTTCATATTGTATATAGTTTATTAATGAAGAAAAAGAGACTTTTATTGGACTAAAAGGGAAAGATGGTGGGGGATGTTTTGTGCACTGTGTATTCAAATGCTGATTTCTGAACCCAGAGATCCGGTTGCAGTTTGAGCATAGACACTGGCATTGTCATTTATATGAAGCCTCTCCTATCTCAGTGTTATGTAAAAATTGTTCTCCACCACCCTCTAATTGATTAATAAGGATCTAAACAGCCAATAGCTGGGCAGGAGAAATATGTGGGACTTCCAATCCCAGTGAGGGGGTCCCAGATGTGATGTTTGTCTTGAGAATAGTCACCATGAAGACATGGATGAAAGAGAAGCAGTAAGGGTGAGACTAAGATGGCAGGTAACAGGCCATGTAGTTGGGAAGTAGGCCAGTGTGAGGATTATTCAGGTTAATTTAGACTGAGCTAACTGAGAATATGCCCAGCAATAGTGACTAAATCTATTATTAATAAATATAAAGTCCTCCATGTCATTATTTGGGAGCAAAGGTAGCATTAAAAAGACCTTATTTTTACACATGACCAAACAAACAAACATGTCCCCAGCAAGGACTCTTTTTTTTAATCTTCTTAATCTCATTGGAGAAGTACCACTAACTGCCTTGATTTGGGCTCTTGAGTGTGCTGGCGCTTTCTTTGCTGTAGGTGGATTAACATTGTGGGTGTGGAGGTTAGGGTGTCTGGAAAATAATTGGCCACCAAAGCCACCCAGGGGCTTCTAAGTTTATTGTCTTATGCCCAAGAAGAATAAGGAAATTCGGGCAAGAAGTGAGCAGAAAAGTTTCATTTAGAAACAATGAGCAGGGCTTTCCAGAGAGATGGAGGGTTCCCTGGGGGAGTATTTCATGCCTGCACAGTGTAGTCTCTTACAGATCTTATGGTGGGAACTGGAAGTCATCTTTTTTTTAATTTATATTTCATTTTTATATGTGTTTGTTGTGTTGCTTGTGGAGGTCAGACCACCATGTGGCGTGGTTGGAGCCACCAGAAGGTACTGGGAACTAAACCAAGTCCCTCTGCAAGAGCAGCAAATTTTCTTAACTGCTGAGCTAGCTCTCTAGCCCCACGGTTTAGGTAATCATTCCTGGGATTGGTTACTTTTAAGAGCGAAAGGCTGAGTCAGTAACACTCCTTACTCTACATTCTTTAAGCATGTTCATGTCAGGAAAATATTTAGGGATCTCAAAGAAGGAGAATACTACTCTAGCTGAAGGGTCTCTGCAAGGCAAACTTTACTCTTGATAAAGAGGGTGTCCTCAGAAGCGAGAGCACACAGAAGTAGGAGGCTCACTTGGCTCTTCCCTTCTTCTTCCTCCTCCTCCTTCTCCTCTTCTTCTTTTGGTTTTTCAAGACAGGGTTTCTCTGTGTAACCTTGTCTGTCCTGAAACTCACTCTGTAAACCAGGATGGCCTTAAACTCATAGAGATCCACCTGCCTCTGCCTCCCAAGTGCCAAGTGCTGGGATTAAACACATGTGCCCCCCACTGCCTGGCTTTCCTCCTCCTTCTTCTGAGACAGAGTCTATATATCCTTGGCTACCTGGGACTCTTTTTGCATGAGGCTGGGCTGGCCTTGATCTGCTTCCTTTGCCTCCTGAGTGCTGGGATAAAGGTGTGTGCCAGCAGCCTAGCTACTTGGGTAGCTAACTCAGGTAGGTGGTGACTGAAGTCCTCCTGTCTCCCTCATCTCCCATGCTAGCTAGGTCCTACCTTATGGTCTTATTTGATTGGAAGGAAAGGAGAAAGGGGTTGTCATCCACTTCAGTCACTCAGGTTCCCAGAATGCAGCAGTGCCTTTGTACAAATAAAGGTTTTACTGGTTGGGCGTTGTTTAATATTCACATGAAAGTCTTTCTTAAAAAGATGGGGGTGATAAAAAATGTTTTAATTCCTTGTCCTAAATAAAAGTTTATAGTATTTAATAGAAAAGACTCATATTTACTATTTCTTGTATTCCCTTTGCCCAGTCCCTCATCCATTTACTGGAGTGACTTGACTAGTTCTGGATCCTTCTTAGGACTGCTCTTATTCCCCTAGCTGGAGAGAAGTCCCGTTTACAATGCACACGCTCTCTGAGAGCAGGGACTGTTGCTTTGATTTCTGTCTTCAGAGTCACCCCTGTAAGAAGCACACAGATGACAGTCAATAAGCATTCTGATTTTACTTGATTTGATAAGAACAGGTCTCTGGAAACCTGTCAGACAGTAAATAAGGCCAAGTGGATTAAAAGACAACTACAGAACCAAGAAGCAAGAGGCAACCAGTAGCCAGATGAGGCTACTTTTCACACCAAAGAACTCTTCTCAGTAGGTCTGTGAATTACCACACCACACCCAGAGTGATTCTAACCCAAGTTTCTGAAGAACTTAATTTCTTATTAATTTGTTTTTAAATTTTAAGTTACATTTATTGACAGAGAGAGATTGAGAATGTGGTGGAGATCAGAGGGCAACTTGCAGGAGTAAGCTCTCCCAGCATGTGGGGAGGTTCTAGGGGTCAAATTTGAGTCCTATGTTTTAGCAGCTGGTGCCTTTACCTGCTAAATCATCTTCCTGGCCTATAATCCCCTTTCCTCAGTCTCCCAAGTGCTGATTTTACAGGCATGAAATCACCATGCCAATCTTTCAATATTATTTTAGTGAGTGTGAGCATGTGTGTGTGCACTGTGTGTTTGTATGTTTGCGTGTGTGTGTGTGTGTGTGTGTGTGTGTGTGTGTGTGTGTGTGCAGGCACCCATGCTGCCCTCTTACATGGCTCACATTTTCACCCCTGCACCATGTCTACAGATTTTAAAGAAAGCTTTATTTCGTATCTGATAAGTGATCCTATCCTATTTTATTTTGGAGTGCTAAAAGGAAAGCCCTTTCCCTTTCCTAATTTGTGTCTCGTGTTTGGGGGCCTGCAAATTAGCTGAGAATATAGATGAATCAAAGAAAAGACATTTGTCCTAAATAGAGTGGTTTTTTTTTTTTTTCTCTCTCCCTCTCTTTTTTTTCCCCTTAGCCACGAATGCAGCAATGTCTGGTGGTTTCTTTCCCTATAATTCTGTTCTTTTCTCTTTCTTTTCTTTCATTTACTCACTTTTTAGCCTGATCGCCGGCCCCTCCTTCCTCTCCTTCTAGTACCACCCTCATGCCTCCTCCCCTCAAGTTTTAAGTCTCAATTTAACTAGGGAAGGGGTCGGAAGGGCAGACAGTTTTTTTGTATTTCAATGAGAGTCTGGAAGGCTACGTTGAGCTTTTGTGTGCTAATGGCCCGGAGCAGCTGAATCTTCTGGAAGCTCCCTGGGGACATGTATGGCTCTTTAATTTCGTTAGCCTTGCTTTCCTCAGTGGAAAAAGTAGTTAATAGTTCTTTCTGCCTCTACAGTACCTCAGAGGGTTTACCTTAAAAATCATCTTCATGCCAAGTGGGGGAGGAGGAAATTTGGGGATATTCTAAGCAATTGGTTTAGGGCAACAAAATTAGCCAGAAAGGGTCAAACAGGACTGGAGAAGGCAATGAAACCTGGAGAAAAAGAATCACCGCCCTCTAAGAGAGGCTCGGCGGTGCGTAGAAAGTCGCAGTGCTAGACCTGGCGCAGTGCGATCAGGCCCGGAAACAGACTCTTGAGAACCTCGGTCTTCCGAGATCCACCTGTTTTCTTCCTTCAAGTTATTTCCTCAAGCGCGGAGTTGCAATAGCATCCAGGTCCTGGAGCGGCTGCGAGGATGGACGACACCCAGCAGAGCGCCCCGCTTGCAGGAAGCGCTCGCCAGGGTCAGCTCTGTCCGCGGCTGGGTGGGGCGGACTCGAGGACGCCTCCTGCGGGCCCCCGGGGGTGCGTCACTCGCCTCGGGCTTATCAAAACTCCGCCCGAGCCTCTCGCCTCCAGAACACCGTACTTCCTCCGCTCGCGGTGGCGGCCCCGCGGTGCGGCGCTCGGGGAGCCTCCCGTCGAGCCTGGAGCCGAGGGCCGCCGCCGACCTGCCGGCGTCGCGTCGCTCTCTCCCCGTTCGCTCTCCCGCGCCGCTGACTTGAATTCTGACCCCAGGGCCCGCCGGGTGAGGTCGAGCCTCGTGACGCCACTGCCAGAGTTGGAAAGCGAAACCGTTCTTCTCTGCAAGCGGCACCGCCCGCGTCCGCCCCTCGGGCCGCCCGTAAGTTTCGATTCTCGGTGGAGCAGAGTCCCGCGCGGCGACCAGAGCGGCGGCAGCCATAGCGCGCCATGGCCGACCCCGGAGTGTGCTGTTTCATCACCAAGATCCTGTGCGCCCACGGGGGCCGCATGACCCTGGAGGAGCTGCTGGAGGAGATCAGCCTCCCTGAGCCGCAACTCTGGGAGCTGCTGGAGACGGCGGGTCCCGATCGCTTCGTGCTATTGGAGACCGGAGGCCAGGCCGGGATCACTCGGTCGGTGGTGGCCGCCACAAGAGCCCGCGTCTGCCGTCGCAAGTACTGCCAGAGCCCCTGCGACAGCCTGCACCTCTGCAAGCTCAACCTGCTGGGCCGATGCCACTATGCACAGTCCCAGAGGTTAGTGAGCCGGGGATAGGCAAAGTTCTCTCCCTGCCCAGCCCCGGCTGCTTCCTGGGGGGAAGGTAGGGGGAGGCCGGGGGGCCGAGTGGATGTCACGCGCTCCCCTACAAACTCTCTCTCTCTTCCTGATGCTGCGACTCTTTAATTCCTCAGGTTGTGGTGGCCCCAACCATAAAATTATTTTCGTTACTGCTTTATAACTGTAACTTTGCTACTGTTAGGAAGCGTAATGCAAATATCTGTGTTTTCCGATGGTCTTAGGCGACCCCTGTAAAAAGGTCGTTCGACCCCCAGGTTGAAAGCCACTGGGCAAAGCGATATTGTAGAGAGTCAGAGAGTAGGCTGCGTCTCTACCCTTTCCATCGCCCGCCAGAATCCTAAGTACTTTTGGGTCAACGAGAATTTGGAGAAGTTGCACACAGATCTTTGCCTCCTCGCTACCCTGGTACCCCAGCGCGTGGTGATTGCCCCAGAATCCTAGCCTTGCTGCGTACCCTCCGGCGGCTCCGATACACCAACCCTTGGGCCCGCTGCAGCTCTTAACTCCTAGACTTCCTAAGTCCCCTCTGTCTCCTAGAAGTCTGGCGACAGGTTGTGCCGCCCGGCCAAATTACCAAAGATGTAGTGATCTCTCAGCCTCCTTCCCTAAGTCTGCGTGGTGGCACAGTGACCCACCTTCTTGCGACCCACTCGTTCAGGTTGCACAGTACTTTAACTCCAAAGGCAACAGCTGCCTCTGTTCCTACCTGGCCTTTTTTTTTTTTTTTTTTTTTTTTTTATGGTTGTGGTGGTGGTACTTAAGACTGGTAAGAGGGCCTCCTGCATGCCAGGCAAGCACCCCACCCCCTCAACTGGAGTCTTTAAAAATCTTTTTGAGCCAGAGTCTCACCAGTTTACCCAGGCTGCCTTCGAAGACAATCCATAGCCCTTGAACGTGGTTGAGTTCCTACTGTCACTCCCAAGTGACTGAGATTACAGGTCTGTGCTGCCAGGCCCATATTTCTGCTCATTTATATTTTTCTGGTCACTGTATTTTGCACACTTTGTTAATTCTTTAAAAACTGTGAGTGTTGCCCTGTTTTGGAAACAGTGATCATTAAACTTTTTTTTTAATCATCTATTTACTAGCAGAAAAACTCGAGCCACTCACCTCCAGGATGTGTGTATCAAAACACACAAAGGAGGAGCGTTTTAAATGGACGAAGTGGTTTTTTTTTTTTTTTTTTTTTTTTTTTTTTTTTTTTTTTTTTTTTTTTACTGTTTGGAACAAGAACTCATTTAGTTCATGAAGTATTTGAAGAAATGTGTGTATGCCCCTTTGCCCCTTTACCTAAATGTTTAATGTTATGATGCAACAGTGTGAAAGCCTGTCTGAGTGACACTGGAAGTTACGTTTAAAAGAAGCGGTCTAAGTTGCTGCTTGTAACTGAAGAAATCGCTGAGTCTGAAGGAAGGGAAGTGGGTAGCAGTGGAAAAGGAACATTCTAGCACTGTGCTGAGCAGCAACAGGTTAGAATGCTCTGTGATTCTTTTTTCTGTTGCCTGTTCTAAGAATTTCTTTACTTAAGTGCTGGCTTTTAGTTTTAAAAGTTTCAGTGTTTTTCTACAGTTCTCAGCATATTAAGAAGTGGAGAGGGGAGACTGCTGAGTCTCCAGGTGGCCATCATTTTGATTTGGCAGTTTTACATTTTAACTTTTTGGTGTTGGGGGTTGGTCTGGTGCAACATCCCTTGGTGTATGGGAGAATGTGCTGGCCTGGATAGAAAGCAGATCTGGGGGTGGGGGGTTCAGTATTTAGCATTAGAATACATAGCACTAGACCAACCGCCAACTAAGTGGCCTGTCCTGTGTCACCTATTCTCCATCTTCGTCCCTGACTCCAGTGTTTTCTGTTAAAGCAAATGATGTATGATTATTTATTGGCTACACATTCAGTATCTCGAACAGTTAAGGACTATATTTTATTAGTATTTGCACTATACAACAATCATGTTTTTAGAAATATCTTTCTGTGTTGTTCTCCCCTCCCTTGAGAGAGGGTCTTGCCATAGTTAAGAACTCCTGTCAGGCTAGGTATGACCTTGAAGTTTTTGAACCTCCAATCTCCACATAAGTGCCGGGATTACATGCTTGGCACAACCATAACAGGAATATGGAGTGCTACAGATGGAACCCAGGACCCTGTGCATGCTAGCTAGGAAGCCCTTTACCAGTGCAGCTACATCCTCAGCCCCCAACAAAAAGTTTACTTTATCAATTAATTTAGTATTCAAATTCTTCTGATTGCCTCAGTAGTCTAACTTGTGTTTTCAGCATAAAACACCCATATAGACATGCTCCATAGTTACTTTGATGTGTATCCAACATGTTTTCGGAATGTCATTTCAGTTTGTAGCACACATGTGTAGAATTTTTAGCTTTATGAATTTTGTTATTATTACTACTTCTGTCTGGTTTGAAACAGCCATTTTAACTTTACAAAAACCCCACATAGTTTGGAAGATCATACATAATAGAGGGCTTATTTTGGTGGTTTAAGTTTGGATAGACACTCCAGAAAAGTCGTTATTTTTTGGGTGGCATCAGGCGGGGTGGTGAGGTTTCTTTTTTGTTCTGTTTTGTTTTGTTTTGTTTTTCTTTCTTTCTTTTTTGGTCTCACTGGGTAGCTCTGGATGGCTGGCCTTCCCTCAAACTGACGAAGATCCGCCTACCTCAGGCACCATCTCACCTGGCTGGAGTGTGTTTGTTTTCTTATGTGTATGGTGTTCTGCCTGCACGCGTACCACCTTCTCATGCCTGCTATCCTTGGAGGGTGGGAGAAAGAAGCAGACCCCCGGAACTGTAGCCACAGACAGCTGTGAGCCACTCATTAGTGCTGGGAATTGAACCTGGTCCTCTCAAGAGCAATCAGCCAGTGCTCCCGACTCCCGGGCCATCTCTCCAGCCCTAGACTGTCCTGAAGTCTAGGAAACATTTTTTTTTTTAATCACATGTATTTTATAGTATTTTCCCTTTAACAGCTCTTACAAAATTTCGTCTTTTAAATGTTGTTATGTATTAATAGCTTTCTCTTGGATCACTGGCTAATAGGGTCAGTCAACTAATTAATACCCGCAATGATACGCTGTATTTGCATGATGTGGTGCAACGTGTATTTTTGCTGGTCTTTAATACTTCCTCTGTAGTACTTTTCTTAATTTATACATAGGAATTCTCCTGTCTCGGTGTTCCTGTCTTTCTTTTTGTCATGCTTCTGGCTATACATTTTAGTTGACAACAAGGCTTTCCTGGGTATACTTGTGTATACTTGTTTGGGCACTCAAGTTAGGAAATTTCTGTTTGCTTTGCTGACATGATATATTTCCAAACCTGAAATTCAAGTCCCAGGTGTAATACAGACACTAACTATGCCATCAGCCCAGTAGACATGACAGCTAAGTTAGTCTGTAGCTCCTGAGAATGAGTACAAGTCCTTCCCTTTTTAAAAAACATTTTAACATTATTGTTGTTGTGTATGTGTGCCTAGGTGTACAATGTGTGTAGGGGATTACATGTATGCCAGAGAGCACATGTGGAGACCAACACGCTTATGTGGACTTGGTTCTTTTCTTTTTTTCTTTTGGTTTTGTGAGACAGAGCCTTGCTCGGTAGTGCAAACTTGCCCCAAACTTAAGAAAATCCCCCTGCTTCGGCCTCTTGGGTCTAGGGTTACAGGCATATACCATCACGTCTTGAGGCTGGGAGGTGGCTCAGCAGTTAAAAGCACGGCCTGTTCTTATTGGCCACGTGGCAGCTCAAAGCTATCTGTAACTCCAGTTTTGTGGGATCTGACACCCTCTTCTGGCCGCCACAGGCACCGGGAATACATGGGTTCACATACATACACGTAGGCAAATTACTCATAGATTAAATTAAAATAAGTAAATAAAATAAACTTCTCTTAATCAGATGAAACAAGCATGGAGGACTTTACGTTTTTACCAAAGGCCACCGTGGCTTGTAGCCGGCAGAGGTGACAGGTTAATCTTACATGCATGACCCCATTATCTACTAGCTGTATGAAATGAGGTCTTTCATTAACTCAAGTTATTCCCCTTGCAGACCTGATTATTGTTGAGCTGGTTGGAGCAGCCTGTCTCAAGGCCATCTGTTACTACGGTTTCTGTCACTGTGGGGGTTTTCTCTGGGCTGCTTCCTGTTTTTATGGTATTCAGTGCTGAAACTTAGTGTAGGTGATCCCCCCCTCCCCCGCAGTGTCTCTGAGGCAAAAGTGCTTGCCTTGCAAACCTGATGACCAGAGTTCAATTCCCAAAGTCCGCAGAAAGATTGAAGAAAGAAAAAAAAAAATCAAATCCACAAAGTTCTCCTCTGGTGTCTACACACACACACTTTAGCATGCATGTGCCCCCATACATGTCACACTAGTGCACACACACAATAATAAATAAGAACTTTTAAAAGGGATATAGAGCCAGGCGTGGTGGTGCACACCTTCACAGAGAAACTTTTTAAATTTTTGCCTATCTCTTAAAAAATGAGGAGCCCTGAGAGGCCTCAGCATATTTGTTTTCATCCTTTAGTCCCATTCTTTTGCCTGTTTTCAGATCTACAAACCAATAGGTGATATCCGTGTTAGGCTATTTGTAAGCTCCACATTTTGGGTTCAACCAAGTGCTGATGGAAAATATGCAGGGCAGAAAAGCTTGGGTCTGTGTTGATCCCTCTTCTCTAAGCAATCCAGCATAACACGCATTCACATGGCACATTGTATTCTAAGAATCTCAGGGTGTACATGGACAGGAATGCCTTGGCTGCATGCCAGTGCTGCACCTTTTATATAGGGGACTCTAACAGGATGTCGGAGTTGAGGAGGTCTTCAAATCAGCCTCTTGGGGACCCCAAATGATGGCTCGTCGGGCTTCATTTACTCTTGTTTGCTCAACATGTTCCGCACCTGCCCTTATTTTCTCTTCTCCTGTTGCCTTGAGCTCTGGGTT